TCTGGAAGTGGTCCAACTGAAAAGTTGGTATGAGAAATTCATACCCGTGCTGCTAAATCTTGTGACAATATTACTTTGCATGATGTCAATTTTTTATTTGACGATGGATGAGGATCAAATTTTGCGAGATATCCGTTTTTGGGTGTGGATGAGCTGTATAATTGTCTGCATTAGTTCGACCAACTCCAACCTGATCGTAGTACTGGACAAGGACCAGGTACGAGTGCGAATTTGGGAGGGAATTGTGGAATTTGATTGGCATGTTCGAAAAGGTAAATTACTGGCTGGTTTAGTCGATAACTTACTAAAATTAAAATGCATATGTTAAGGGTTGTCTTGATGATAAGTTAAATCATACTCTTCCCCTATACATTTTTAAATTCAAGTTTCTCTAATATGCATAAATTAATCCACAAAATAAGTCCGATTAAAAAAAAATATTTGATCTATTTGCTGGAGAATTAATATATTCTGAGCGGAGGAACTAATTTTTAAAGTATTTAGAATAGTTTGTACTAAAAATTTGTGTTACATGTGCACATGTAACATAGATAATTTTGGTTTATCTAAAGATTCACGAAACGGGTTTAGAAATTGTCATTTCATTACATAGAATACGTGAACAAACGCATTATTTAAAGCTTTGTCCATAAGAATTTAATGTGAAACCTTGAATTTCCAGAAACAATGCCATTTAACATATCCGAAATATCCCCTAGTTCAATTAATAACTTTACTAAATATACGGTATAGTCTATACCCCTTGCATCCAATTTATGTTACTAAACCAGGTTTTATGAATTTAATTCACAGAGTTCGAAATCCATTCCAATCTGAACTACCGTAAAGCAATAGCAAACTCAGAAGTCCGTCTTGTTTCTTTAATCCTTTGGTGTTACGTGATCGGATCGTACATCGGAATTCCATTTGTCGTCCTCATTGGCATGCTTGTCTTCAATCTGGACCCGATTTCCTTCGTTATTCGGCACATGTTTCCTCAAACAATGTCTGACACAGCCGCGCGGGTGGCAATATTTTTAGTCTTTTACGCAATTAATTTAGTAGGGTTTTACGAATTGAGTCGCATGGTGTGTATCGGATTTTGCTCTGTAATCCATGTCGTAAAATGCATCAATACAGTTCTGAAAATTGGGCCTTTATTTGTCACTAAAATCAGGAAATTGTACGATTTGCAGGTTTTAATCATGTGGTACAAATTTTGTCAGGTTCAATTTGCAATTGCTGAATATGTCGTGAGAAACACGATTTTCTTGATGCTCACGACATTTTGCACATTCTTGACTTTGGCTTGCTACATACTAATTAGGTTACACGCTGAACGACCGGATGTTGTGATGCTGCAGGGTACGTTTGCCTTAATGGGTTTCGCTCTAGTTTTTTAGTTTCTTTGGGGGGTCAGTTCGAACTTTGCTAGTCAGACGAAATACTGGCTCAAAGTTTTGGGGCAGTTGAAAACCCTAAGGAAAATAGAAAAAGTTTGGGAGAGGAAGTTACACTCGAAAGTTTTGAAGTCTGTGAGACCGATTGAAGTCCCGGTGGGGATCGGGAACTACACATTTTTTCATGCGAGACGATCTAATGATCTTTCAGTGATGATGTTCATCGTGGATAATACGATCTCGTTGTTACTACTGGACTGAAAATTGGTTCGGGTCTGTGCAGCAATCAGAATTTTGTTGATATATAATACTTTGCAAACTGAAGTTACTAAATAGCTTAATAGAAAATGCATTCCAAACTTTTAGATAAGGGGATTGCCTATGGAAATTATGCCATAATATGTTCTAATATGCCGATATGATTAATTTCTTGTGGTAACCGGGATGTTTGATTTATTATCTGATCAGCTATAATAATAATGAAAACACATGATAATTCATTCATGTAAATTCCCGGTGGGGATCGGGAACTACACGTTTTTTCATGCGCGCCGGTCTAATGATCTTCTGGTGATGATGTTTATTGTGGATAATACGATCTCATTGCTACTACTGAACTGAAAATGTGTTGGTGATGAGTAATAAGTATTTTTATGGATGTATGTAAATATTTTCGCTGTATGTATTTAGATATATTTAGATATGTATGAAAATTTTCGTGGTATGTACAAAAGGTGTCCAAACATTTTAGGATCTCTTGAAAGCGTGAATTACCTTAAATAGGTACAATGGTTATGAATACCCCTGATATTGTCAATTTGCTCTGCATGTATTTTATTACTCATGCCGTTAATAAATTCATATCCAATGGATTACTAAAACGAAAACCAATTTGATTGTGCAATTTGTTAGCATAAGTTACCCAGAAATTTGCCTCGATATTGTCCAGATAATTCGTTTGATTAGATACATGGGGCAGCCATGCACATATAACTTATAACCTAAAATTATGACGTATGACTTATTTTATAAGTTATAAATCATAGAAACGCCATATGTTGACGTGTATGTACTTATAATTATAAGTCAAATTATACGTGATAATTTTGAGTTGTAAGTTTTGCGTCCATGGATGCCCCATGTATCTATTAAACATGTTCATACTTCGTTCATCAAAGTGCCTAGGCGATAGATACATATACCTAGCCTAGGTATATGTATCTATCACCTAGGTATCTGAAGCACCTAGGTAACCTAGGTGCTTCATTCAGCCGCTGAAGCAGAACTAACCCTGACAAAGGTTAATTTGGGGAATTTGTAAGTAATTTGATCTTGTATGTGCTCCACCTATTAATTTTTGAGCAATTTCCATATCAACTCGTTTATCAATTTAATTTTAATTTTGCAATAATATTCATTGAATATGCATTAAACATTTTTTACTACGTGATTACTTTAACCTATTGTAACATATGGATCAGGCAGGCGAGGACATCCATATATTTCGACATATTTATAAAGCAAAGGTATGTGCGTAGATGCCACCCACCTTGCGGTCACGGCGTCGGCGTCAATTTTGATTATTTTTAGCTGCAGCGCGGCGCCCCAATGTTGAAGGAATGGGAATACTGTGTAAACTGAATTATGTAGTTACGCTAAGGATAAATCCTAAGAATAAATCAACCCCTACGGGGTAAAATACTATCCGTGACGGAGTTAAGTTTCCACTCTCCGCAGTGTATGAGACATATGTACATATACATAAATATGTACGTAGGTGTTTTATTATTGATTTTCAAAAGGTATGTTCCTCACTGTTTGTGACCAAACTTTTGATGAAATAACAAACGTCAAATACATTTAGGAGGCTGGGATTTTTTTCAGTTCTGTAGGTTAACATGAACACTAGCAATAAATCAGCAAACCTTACCTCGACGGAAAAAATGCCAGATTTGCAAATTAAATATCGTAGTGTGATTTAATTTTTAATGCTGGAGGGGCAATAGGTGTCGCAGATTTATGATCGAATGCTTAAAATTTACGATGAAAACTGCCCAACACAAGACACAAATTCAATTGGGTCAATAATTTCAAATGATGGCGAAAAGAAGTCTCGGACAAAAAGCCGCTAGGACGCCCAAAATCTGTTTCTCCCACAGAAAGGCTCCGGAAACTAGAGGAACCAATAATGAGAGATCCGCGATTGAAACTGTCCTATTTAGCAGATGAGATGGGTGTTCCAAAACCAGCAATTTGTTCCATGTTAACTGAACACTTCGGTATGAAAATGGTTTCCTCCCGTTGGGTACCAAAATTGCTTTCGGCATCTCAAAAACAAGATCGAATCGACTTTTAGAATGAAAGTTTTGACCTTTCAAATGAAACCTGGAACCTGATTCATATTTTAATAGTTGGATATGATACTTGGGTTTACTATTATGACCCGTAGACCAAATAATAATTCATACAATGGAAGCACAGGGGGTCGCCACCGCCTATGAAAGCAAAAGTGCAAAAACCTGCCAAAAAATTGATGATTCCCATTTTCAAGGATACCAAAGGTCCACTCCTTGTAACATTTATTGGTAAAAATACTATGATAAATGGGGCAGCCTATGCAGGAATCCCGAAGGAGCTGTGTGCTGTGGTTGAAGAAAAACGTCGGGTCAAAAAAACGAGTTGGTGCATTTTTAGCACGCTAAAGCGCCACCGAATACCTGGCAATTTGCGAGGGCTGCTGCAGACGGAAATCGCTTCACCTAGATAAACCACCTCCCGTACAGTCCAGACATGACCCTTGATGATTATTATTCGTTTCGAAACTTAAAGAAAGACATCAGGGGAAACGGTTTTCTGATGATAATGAAATCAAGTCGTAAATTTTGGCATATTTTCGAGGTAAATTTTGATGAGCTATTGCTAGTGTTAATGTTAACCTACAGAACTGAAAAAAATAACAGCATCCTAAATGTATTTGAAGTTTGTTATTTCATCAAAAGTTTGGTCAGAAACAGTGCGGAACATACCTTTTGAAAATCAATAATAAAACACCCACGTACATACATTCTAAATAGACTGACAAGAATTTGTTAAAAATTAAAGCATTATGTAAATGCATACATAATATTTCCATACCTTTAAGAAACGAATACAGTGGAACATCTACTTTAGTGCATATTTAAATGGATGTTCTCCGTACACATGCCAGTTAAGCACGAGGAAAATTATACATTTGATGTACTCCCAATAAAAAGATCGATGACAGGACGATGGAAGAATAGATTAGGTTTGATCAGGTGTTCAATTTCACTCATTGATCTCGTCAACATATTTTTGAATAATTGAAATGTTCCACTATGTATATGTACATATATTTGGACATATATAAATATCGCCTTATGCCATTACGCAACCAAGACTTCAAGTACGGCGTCACCAATACTGAGAACCATTGTGCTTAACCAAAACGTTTACTGGAATGTTCCAGCAGCGCGTAGTGACGTCACAACATTTTAATTGATTTTTGTAGTTGCTCCCCGTGTCTGAGATAAGTGGCTGTGTATTACGCAACCTTCTCTGTGATCTCCAGGTTGTTGCTCACGAATATAAGTGCACTCAACTCGCATGGCTTTCTCACTCATTGTCAGTCGGGGTTGTCCAAATTATTCAGTAAACAACAGAATTAGAGTGAAAATGAGCCTTCCATTTGCTATTTGTATAGTCGCCTTCCTCGCCGCGGGGGTAAATGGAGCAAATGAAAGTAAGATCATTTTCTGTTCAATTTAAATATTGTTTAAATTTAGTGGTAATAATGATTTAGTGGTAATGAATTTATGTACATATGTAAATTTGTGACATATATTGCAGCGACTGGAATCCTTACCTCGCCCGGATATCCGGACGCTTACACTAGAGGGACCAGAACGACCGCGATTGAGCTGCCAAATCCAAATGCTACGGTTTTACTGCAATTTCAAAAGCTTGATTTAACCGCAACTGGATATACCTCGTCCACATTTTTTAGAGTGAGTCATTTCAATTTAATTAGATAATAATAATACGGAGATTGCGAATTAAGGGTCTTTGCAATAAATGTTCAAGTTAACGTTAATTTTCAGCGTTTGCGTGAAAATTTAGGGTAAAAACCTTAATTCGTAATTTCCATTGTGGGTACAACACAGTGTCACAATGCTCTCTTATCATGTTACTACAGATACACGACGGCTTAAACACGTCCGACAGAGTGTTAAATATTTACAGTTCAAATGAATACTACACCGCGAAAGATGTTGAGTCGACCGGAAACAAAATGCTGATATATTTCTCTGCTTATCACACTGGGGCGCCAGGATCGGGGTATTATGCTACATACTGTAAGTGTCCCTTGGAAATAAAGCTATCAAAAAGTGTCATTTTATGGTAAATCCGTTAACTAATTTTAGCAACGGTCGACCGTCACGACAACATTATTCTGGAAACCGGTTCTATCACGAGTCCTGGATATCCAGCCAAGAACACGGATGCCGTCGCCATTCACTGGACCTTAACCCAACCGAACAGTGACTTTGTCCGGGTTGAAATCGAGGATCTCGAATTGAACGAGGACTCTGATTCCTTAACAATTAGGGATGGACCCTTGGCAGGATCACCCATTCTAGGACAACTATCCGGTGTGAAGAATCAGACTCATCATACATTCTTATCGTATAGGAACTCAACGTTTTTGCGATATGTTTCCAACGGACTTTCAACCGGAAGGGGGTTCAATGCCACATTTCATCCCGGTATTATTTTTTAGACATATGTACCTTAATTTTTTTAATAAAATTAACTTATTAAAATTTGAATAGGTTACCGTTATCGTCTAACTGGTTCCGCTTCTGGTGAAGTCGCATCCAAAAATTTCCCCTCCAATTATTCTACCTACTTAGCGGAAGAATGGGTAATCAACTTACCCGCGGGAAATATGAGTGTTCTTCTCGAATTTAAATGTTTCCATACCGACACTGACGATGTCCTTACGGTAATGTCGAATATTTATTTCTAGATGAATATTTTTATAAACCTGATTAGATTGTTCTCTATATTTAACTAGATTCGGGATGGAGATTCTTATCTAAGCCCGATTATTGGAGTTTACTCTGGTAATGATCTTCCCCCTAATATTCTAGCCTACAATAACAGACTCACGGTAAGCTTCGTGTCGTACGGTGGCGCAACAAACAAAGGATTTTACGCGACTTATAGATCAGGTAGGTTTATTTTTAAATAAATGAAAAATTTAGAATAATTTATATAAGAAATAAATAGTGGGGGTACCCATGACGAGTTCGCATCACATCATAATTTTGAAAAAAAAATTTGCGAACTTTGAAGTTGTGCAAGTTCGCAAATAAATTTTCAAGTCTATATTTTTGCGAATTTTATTTTTTGCAAACATTGCAAAATCCTGAATGAATACCCCCAGTGTTACAAACATATAGCCAAAATTTAACGACTGATCATACGTTCAGTAAACCGTGCCGATTACACGACCACCACGACACCAGCACCCACCACGGCTGAACATTTAACCTGTGTTGAACCCGGGGTATACAGGATTCCTTATCCTGGAGTTTGCGAAAAATATTATCAATGCGTGAATTTCAATGCGTATGAGGGAACATGCGCACCAGGACTATTTTTCGATTCCTCCATCTCTGAATGCAATCTTGCCGACCGCGTTGAATGCCCTTGGTTTAACCGCTGTCCACCAGAGGGTATCTTTTATCTTCCAGTGTCAGGTATGTATGCAAATTTTAATTTTGTACATAGTTTGAAAATTATACCATTTAAAATTTGATAGGTGATTGTTCCGCGTATATAATGTGTGTGGAAGGAGAACCTTTTCCACACCGATGCGCCAATGGAACTTCATTTGATCCTGTTGACTTAAGGTGTGAATTGTCTGAGGATGTTACATGCGCGTGATGTAAATATTTGTATTTTGTTGTAAATCCAAAGATTGACTGTAATAAAGCTAAATTTCATGCTTCACTATGGAAACAAATAGCCAAAGGGATGTTTTTAACTCCATATGTACAGATATTGAAGATTAAATAAACCTATGCCAAAAAAGTTTGGTTTGTTTTATTAATTTTCCAAATCACTATGAGTGATCATATACGGACATTCACCACGTATTAAATTTGATACGTGTTTCTCCTAATTTTACCTGCTCACCTTGCATTCCCACTTTTAAGAAGATACGTTAAAGCAGATTTCATGTCTGCCAAGATTAGTACTTCCCGTCTCATCTAACTCCCTGAACTGGGCCATTACTATTAGCAGCGTAAGCAGGACAGACCAGATCTAGCGGTACAAAAAATATATGTATGTACTACATACTATGTAGTACATATACATATGTCTCGAGCGCATAATTTTGACGATGGCTCGTCAATAATGTGTATCGATGCCTTTTTAAAATGTCAGGATCATTTTCTTACAGATAACACAAAACTCCGATTCAATGTAAAGAAATTCCCCGGGCTGATACTTAAGTTACAATTGATCACTTTCCGGTCAAGATAAGTTAGCTAAAAAATGCAAAATTTTAATATATGCATAATAATACAATTCTTTATTGATTAACCTTTTCCAGCCCGACTTGTCCCAACGTGTTCCCTTTCACGTTACACAACCGCTTCACCAGCGTAATCCGATTTTGTTCCAAATTCTCGCCCTCATTTCCATACGTGTACAATGTCCTCATCGCCATCCCGGATGCCAACAGGTTGGTCAGCATGGTCCCAAATTCGCCCATCTTATACGACACGAGTGACATGTATATACTCCCCAATATCCATACGATACTAATCCACACTTCGGAGACCAATCGAACACTTAACTTGTCATTAAAATAATCCACCAATTCCAGAATGACGTCATATGCTCGGGTGATCTCATCAATTTTGTCCAGAGTGACGAAATCTTGGTCACTCTTCATGGTTTCAACCTCCTTAACATACATATGTAAATATTAGTGACGCGATGACCCAACGCGAAGATAAGCACATATGTATTTCAAGTATTTCTTGGCTCTGGAAATTTATTAACAATTATTGACGACAAATTTGTAGGTCAGCTCGTTGCCAATTTTCGAAAAATATACACTCCAATCTCTCAAAGTTTTTGAAGGAGGGGATCTGAAGTTTAAAAACCTTAAGAAAAATTAGAACTCATCGAAACTTACTAACCCTGATTAAAAAAACAGTTGTCGTCCAGAATTTTAAAATAAATCCCCACAGCCGCGAAATGATTCAAAATTTGCCGATTTTGGTGATTAATAATCCAAATCCAAGTCTACCTTAATGACGCAGGTCAACACTAGATTGTAAATCTTGACGAAACAGGTGATCCAATTACTGAACAAAGTATGCGAATATGTGAAGTAGATCCAAAAAATTATCCCCCACAGGAGGCTAATATCCGGATCCTGTACCATTTTTAGCACGGAGGCGTTACTCGACTCGCCGAAAACCTTAGCGATAATTAAATCCACGGAGAGGATGGTGAAAATTGGTAGCAGAAGAAAGAAAACTGTCCAGCAGAACTGGACGCGAAGTTGTTTTCGCAACAAATCCGTAAATTCTGTGCCCAAATTTCCGAAATTTTTTCTAATTGACGACAATGCATGTGCCAAAACATAAGGATGCCTCGCACCGTAGCGAATCCATTGATGCGGTTTCCCAACGCGTTGACCAGTGCGATGAGGGTCATCACTGTAATTATGATTATGTCAGTGGATACTTGGCTGAATTGGTGGAATTTTTCCGTTTGTTGGTCAGTTGTCATGAAGACGATAAAAATTAGGAGGAAGAAAATGACCAGGAAAAGTTGGGAGAGGACGGGGATTGAAAGCCACCGGAAGTGTAAGGATTTTTTTAAGGGGAGCGATTTAATTTTTGAGGGGGTTTCATTTTGGAGGATGATGGTGAGGGGGACATAACCGATTATTTGGACGCCGAGGAGGGGATATTTCAGCAGTGTTAGGAGCAAATGTTCGACACGAGGTTGGTCTTCCATGCTGAGAAAGTATATGTGGGGAGAATTTATAAATTGAGTGAATATGGAATTAATGCATTCATGTAATTGGGGACGTTCTCATAAAAAGAATGAACTGCTCGATCGCATTAATTTGTCTAATTAAATTAGTGGATCGATTAATTGATGTTTGCAATTTGTCAGGTGATTTATTGACAATTTATAAACTAGGTAGCGAGTCGTACATATATTATTACGTAACTAAATTAGTTTTACCAGGTGAAAAGTAATGTGTAATAATTATTTTAATTCTTAAACGGTTAAGAATTTGCACACATTATGTAAATAGATATTCACCTATATATATGTGTGTATATCAAATTCATGTCTGAATCGTCCCTGAAAAAATACACTTCCATGAAAAATATTAAGCGAACGATATCTGAAGTTCCATAAGGAGTATGTACGTATCTTTTCTTCTTAATCTATCTAAATGTCAGTATTGAGCCAATAACTTATGTACGCAAAGAAAGTAATCCAATAATCTAATAAATACATTTTCATATGACCGGATTCACTTAGAATGGGGGCGCAAACCATGTTCACTCCGTAAAATTTTTTGCAACCTTCATTTGAACACTAGCCCTTCAGAAACTACATTTAGGGCGGCACATGCGCCGATGTGAAAACCTCAAGAAGTTATGGGCGCTGTAAGTTGGAGAGAAATAACAATCTGACCTGGTGCCCCAATATTGCATAAAAATCATGGGTTTTTGCGAACTTAGGCCTCCCATAATGATCTGCGTAAGTGTCGCAAACGTTGTTTCTGAAGAGTTTTTCTTTCAAAGTAGCAAGGTCAAAAAATGATCTGGTTGAACATGGTTTGCGTCACGATTGTTAGTTATTTTACCTCCTCCTGTTTTTAACATTTCTTCCGCTTTCCTTCGCCTCGGCGGGATTCGTTCTCTATTTGGTGGTGCCCATTGCAAGTTTAGTGGCTTTTTTATTTGTCATACTTTGGATCCCTGAGGCAGCCAAGGTGTACGAAAGGTCAAACGTTTACTTGTGTAGGACAAGGAGGGATTTACGAAGGGGGACGTGGGAGGAGAAAGTGGTCAGGTCGATGAAACCATTGGGGATACAGATTGGACCGTTTGGCCTGGTTAAAAATAATTTATTAATAATCGTGATCAAGGTTTTGACAGAACATACGGTGAATTTGTTAATTACGTTTTGAACATGCGTGCAAATATAAATAGATTAGAACCGTAGATTTAGAACCCACATTAAGTATATTCACAGACTTGCACTTACATATGTGCACACTTGAAGGGATGAACAAACGTTACCAGATTAATATGTAAAATTTACTATTTAAATATATACTATTCCTTCCTGTTGGGAAGTTAAATTATTTATACGTATGCACAGGTTCCTGTGTCATAAAGACACGTGCGAATATGCATATTCATACATTTAACAAAACAGGCACATTTGAGCACATTCATAGTATTGATCTATCTTCAACTCTGATATTTATATATATATATTTATGTATGTATGGTTGGAAATATGAGTTTAAGTTTAACGAATTATCAATTCGCTTGTATCGATCTATACCGTTATGATTTGTGATTTCAGTATAAGCAAAATGGTTAAATAATTAAATACACATATTAAAATATTTGTATATTAAATTCGTCTAGGTTACTAAGTAAAATAAATATTGACTATTGAATATATATTCGAAAACAAAAGGGCGTCTAACCGGAAATCATTCACTTGATTAAATATTCAAACAGGATAAAGACATAAACCTTGGTTAGCTGAATAATGTCGGCAATTAGCCTTAAATGTGCTACCGCCGCTGGCTTGGCCATCTCTTTTAATGAGTTGTCTGGTCACCCCACAAAGTACATAGCTGAATAATACATAAGTTAATAAATTAACTATTTACACAGATGCAGGTGATACTTCCTGTTCGAGTCTTAATTAATATGCATAGCGTCCCTTGTCCTAAAGTTACTGTCAACTGTACAAAATGCTGTTTATTTATTTAGGACATGAAAATGCTATCATTTCCATAATAAGATCGTATAGATCTATCCTCTTCCTTGATGCATGGGATGAAAATATATATCCAACTGTCATTTCGCGTCAACCAGCACCATTGTGATCAACTTCGCATAGAAACTGTAATCTTATTCGTAGACAATGAGGTATTTCACGTCAAGTTTGTAACTGCGTTAGATTTGTAAGTTTAAACACTCACGATGAAGTGAGTTGACTATGTAAACATTTCCCTAAACATTTTTTTAGGAAAAAGTATCTCGTAGAATAGTAACCCTGATTTCCACTAAAAATGCAGACATATGTAAAGCACCCAAGTTATTTACGAACTTTTAATTATCTACGAACCAAAAATATGCTTTTGAAAGCTGCGAGTTTTGTAAAAGTTAGTAAGCAAATTTTCTTGAGTTCCCTAAGTAACTACAGCTTGGTTTTACATATGTAACATTTAAACCTGAATGAGTAACACTCCCCCAACTCTGCTACATTCATGGCCAAAATAACGTTAGCGTCGGTCTTGCTGCCTCTTTTCAAGCGTAATTTATTCCTTGGAAAATTGCACTCTTTCATGTACTACGCATGGGATTCACGTCTAAAAAAAGTCATCCCATCTTCCCCTATTAACTCGCGCTGTACGAGGATTCATGTGTCGGTCAGCATCTCCTACGTCATTCTGCAAATCTTATTGATTCGAACGTCGCCTATCGCCTTGTCGGATAAAGTGTTTCCTGCAACCCTGACCTGGATGTATATCGCATGCACCGTCATAGGTGTGGAGTGGTGCGCAGATACAGCGAGCATACAATTGATGAACTTGATCTATAAAACGGAAGAAAGTGAGGAATTGGGTAAGCTAACCGTGATTAAGTTTTTGCTGCCCGAACCCAATTTTGAGTAAAAGTGTCCAAAACTGAGAATAAATAATTAGGGTATTTATTACTTCTTCGCATCCTTAGCATCTTTTCATTCGGAAAGCAAGTTACGATGGTTACGAGATTTTCGAAGACTCGTAAGATTTTGTC